ATATATATGTTTATTCAATTCATTTCTTCATTGAAATTACGTTCGACAAGACGCTACAATATATCCGGTCACTTGACAATACATGTATATATTTTTTTTTTTTCCCTTTCTTTTCCTTTTTTATTTTAAAGTGTGTGAATGTGGTCTTAAACTCCCCGAAACAACAAAAAACACAATCAGATTATAATACATAAGCACCCAGACATAATTAGATATACACACGCACACATTAGTTTATTAGTTTATATATATATATATTAGTTTATATATATATATATATTAGTTTATATATATATATATTATTAGTTAATATATATATATATATATATATATATATATATATATATATATATATATATATATATATATATATAAACTAATAAAGCCAGAACCTACCTACCAAATTTTCACCAAACGGATCTCTTCAGGTTATTATTGGCCAGATCTGTGAGGGGAAATCTTGGTAGTTAGGTTCTGGCTGACTAGTTTTTTTTTTTTTTAGATTTTGCTCTACTTAATGTATTGAGCACTTTTATGTCTATACTTAATTTACTTGTCGGTGTTTTTGTTTTTGTTTTTTTTTCTTTTAACAAAGAATTCCGGTGCCAATTAATGTCTTCAGAATTTTCTTTTTCTACTGAATGTTTTTCCCTCATATCGGTTTGTTCAGGTCTATTTTTATTTACAAATTGTATTATCCGTTTTTTTTTCACATCGTCCGTGTATGGATATTAAAATAATATATATATGTATATATGTATATATATGTTTGCCTGACGATCGCTAAAGCGTGAAACCCAGGGTCACAAACTCACATCTATCCAACCAAATATGTTAGCTCTATCTCTGATATTGAGCGCTTTTAATAATACAATGCATATAATATATAAATAATTATACATATATATATTTATTTATATTTATATACACTTTTCACACACACACATATATATATATATATATATATATATATATATATATATATATATATATATATATATATATATATATATATAGGTAAACCTAGAGAGCCAGACAAACCTACCAGGATCATGAGGGAAGGCTGGCCAGCCTTCCCTGACGATCGCTTAGATGAAACCTTGGTAGGTTTTTCTGGCTCTTTAGGTTTAACAAGGTCTGCTGTACTTAACGTATTGAGCACTTTATTTAGTTATTTTCCTTACTCATATCGGGGTTTTTTTACATTGGACTTGCATGCTAGACGATTATTTTCGGCTAACGTACATGTCCTTGTTTTTTTCTTTTTTATACCTTTTTTTCCCTTTGGTATTGGTTTGATTATTTGCAAATCAAGACACCGAAGGTTTTCCAGACGAGTATAATTTCTTATACTTATAAGTTTATTACCGCTATTAATAATAATAATAATATATATATATATATATATATATATATATATATATATATATATATATATATATATATATATATATATATATCGTTGCGCCTTCTTATGGATATTAAATAATATATATATATAATATAAATATATATAATACACTCATACACACACATGCACACACACACACATATATATATATATATGCATACACACACACACACACACATATATATATATATATATATATATATATATATATATATATATATATCGTTGCGCCTTCTCTGGATAATATTCTCGGCTGACATTATGTGGAATGACTATATTGAATGACTAGATGAGCCCCGAATAATGTTGCTTCATTGTGTTGTGCTAGAATTTTTTTTCTCTCCAGAATCTATCTTACTTATCTAAAAGTCTAAAATTCGAGCATGCTTTGAATATTGCTGCCACATATGGTTCGGTGCTCCTGCTATATATTTAGAGATCCTTGATAAAATACAAAGAAGATTCAACAATATTATTAGTCTTGATCAAAACCTTAGAGAGTTGAGTTATTAAACGGAATTAGCTAAAACTGGGACGTCCAAAGGCATGGCACGTGGAATTAGAAGAATCTACCACCGTGGACTAAATGAAAGATTCGGTTCGAAATTCCAACGAATATCACCTGAAGAAGACCGGGGGCGTACAACGGCCGAAACGTCATAAATATGACAACAAAGATGAGGAATGTAAATAGTGTAAACAGAAAATAAATAATGACTTCACTAGTCGGTTGTTGCTTTTTCTTTTGTTTGTTTGTTTGTTTTTTTTTCTTTACTTTTTTTATCGATTTGTTTTTACGGCTTATCAGCCTTTTTCAGGTTATTTAAAAGCCAGAAATTTCGGGGCAGGAAGATAATAATGATTTACTGGTACAAGTTTCTCTAATTAACCCATAGACGGCGGTGAGTGGGGTATGTGGATTCATACCTTTCTCAAGTGTATTTGAGCGTAAGTTAATATAACAAACCAGACTGGAATTAGAACTCGACTCTCCTATTTCCAATTTCGAACCGTTATCCATTATACCACCCTCACATCCAAGAATACAGCATATGGTATTCCCAAGAGCTCACACAGATATTTCAGAGATTCTACGAGAACCGGTTGTTTCAACGTGATACGCCGACAAACCTTTCATTAGTCGCTAAAAATGTTGATATTTTGGAATGATAATGATCTCTTTCTTTCGTCAGTGTACACCTGATGAAGGCTGTAGAATGGATCTACCACAAACAAAAAAGTTTGTAAGAAATATACTTATAATCATTAATTCTAATTTTTTTTTTTTTTTTTTTGGTTTTGTACGTCTTTACTTTGTTTTTGGTTTTTGTACTGGGGGGTGTTTTCTCCTAAATCTGTCTCAATCAGAAAATCATACTTACTGTCGATAGTTTTTGAGACCGACTTTTTTCGCCGTAAAAATAAAAACACTTTTCACAATGTGTTAATATATTTAGATAGAGCTAAATCTAGAAGAAGAAGGAATTTCTCAAACGCTTGCCAGGTATGTGGATAATGAAAGAAATCTAGAAAAGCAAACTGGATTCTTTATACATGATATAAAGCACAACACGTGTGCTTCTACAGAGCGCCATGACAGAGGGGAAAGAGGCATAACAATTAGAATGCTAATGTTCGTAATCATTGTTTGTAAGGTAGATCCTCACTCGATACCTCCTTATTCTACCCTTAAGCCAGTCGAAAGTAAGCTTCGTAAATAAGGACAGCGCTGGAGAAAAAAAAAGGGGGGGGTAACAACCAAACAGGAAAAAGAAAAAAAAAGATTATGGTCATCTAGGCATTGTTAACTAGAAGTGAATATGAAAGCAGAAACCCATTGTATAGCATATACTGAGCTTAGTCTGGCATGAGGCCAAGAGTGCAGTGTACTGATGCGACACAATTAGACCTGAGCTTGAATAGAAGATTAACGAAACCAAGTGAGCTCTTATTCGAAACTGAGGAGTCTCGTCTTTTATAACAATTAATAAAGACTAAAAGTGACATCTTAACCAAGGAAATAGACTGACTAAATTAAAGATTTGAAAACTTTCAGAACCAAGTGCCACTTAGCCGGTAGGTAGGAATTCCGGTTATAGGTTTATATAGGCAGTCAGAGAATTGTCAGTTACGAGCTGGCGGATGACATACCGTCGGTGCAGATACAGAGAGGCATGATCAGTTAAGCGGGTTATTAGGTGCAAACTCAAGGACTACTTTGTCACAGTACAAATATTTGGTTTATCGTTCCAAACAAATTTTGTCATGAAGGCTGTGTTGAAGTAGCACGCTGTTAGATCATTTCATACTAAAACGGGGTTCCTCTAAAGCTATATCTCTGGACCTTCTGGTCAGTTGATTCTCCCAAATTCGTAGGATTGCGAATTTCATGGCTCTATTTTTTCCCTCTGTCCATGTCACAAATGTAAAGTTTGAAGGAAATAATAGTCATCTGCTTTCTAAACGGAAGTGATTAGGAAATAATATTTACTGACCAAAGACAAAAAAGTCAAAATTTGTAAAAAAAAAAAAAAAACTATATTTAATACCGGATTTTATATAATGTTTTATTAATTAATAGTGGATTTTTTTTTAAATCTATAATTAATCCCGGACATTTTGAGAGCGATGGATAGCGACTCGGATTGAGGAATCGGTGACCCGAGTTCGAATTCCAGTCGAGTTCCTTGCATTCGCTTATATGCAAATACACTTAGGAATGGTATGAATCCGTCTCTTCTGTTATCCTTTCAGCTATGAGTAAATAACGGTACAGACTGGGCCATATAGCTTGTCCTATAGTAACACGTATAGGAAAAGGACAACTCTGAATTCTAAAACTTGTGTGGTTGTCGATTAAACCGTCTCTCTCGCCAGACTCTAATAGACACAGAGGAAAAGACGAGTAGCGTGAGAAATGAAGAGACTAACACATAGAGACAGAAAAACAAACAAAGGGAGATATGAGGAAACTACTAGATACAGAGAGAGAGAGAAAAAACGAACGGTGTGAGATATAAAGAAACTGATAGATAGAGAGAAAGACCATTAGACTGCGGTATGAATAGACTAATTGATTGAGAGAGAGAGAGAGAGAGAGAGATGCAAAGAGTTAGATATAAAGTGACTAATAGATAGAGGGAAAGATGGCGAGACTGAGATACGATTAGACTAATAGATTAAGAGAGAGAAAAGGAGAAATGTGAACAGACTGATATATGAAGAGATTAATAGAGACAGAGAAGTTAATAGCATGAGATATGAATAGACTAATAGATATACAGAGTGAGAGGGGGAGAAATGAAAAGACCCAGACTGAGATATGATCAAATTAATAGATAGAGATAACGACGGCAAGAGAGGGAGAGAGATGAACATCATGATCTATGAACAGACTAATAGATAGATAGGGAGAGGAGGGAGAGAGAAAGGGAGAGAAGAAAAGGCCCAAACTGAGAGATGAACAGACTAATAGATAGAGAGAACGACAACAAGAGAGAGAGATGAACATATTCGTCTATGAATAGACTAATAGGCAGCTAGGGAGAGGAGAGAGAGAAGAAAAGACGCAAACTGAGATATGAACAGACTAATAGATAGAGAAGACGACGGCAAGAAAGAGAGAGAGGTGAACATTATGGTCTATGAATAGACTAATAGGTTGATAGAGAGGAGAGATAGATAGAAGAAAAGACCCAAACGGAGATATGAACAGATTAATAGATAGGGAAGACAACAGCAAGAGACGGAGAGAGATGAACATTATAGTCTGAGAATAGACTAATAGATAGAGAGAGGAAGAAAAAGACTCAAACTGAGAGAAAGACGAAAGAAAGACAACAAACGGAGAGAGATGAACATTATTTGAGAAAGACGAATAGATAGGGAAGACTCAAAACTGAGATTTGAAAAACAGATAGGGAAGACAACAGCAAGAGACGGAGAGAGATGAACATTATAGTCTGAGAATAGACTAATAGATAGATAGGGAGGGAGGGAGAGAGAGAGAAGAAAAGACTCAAACTGAGATTTGAAAAGACGAATAGATAGGGAAGACAACAGCAAGAGACGGAGAGAGATGAACATTATAGTCTGAGAATAGACTAATAGATAGATAGGGAGGGAGGGAGAGAGAGAGAAGAAAAGACTCAAAACTGAGATTTGAAAAGACGAATAGATAGGGAAGACAACAGCAAGAGACGGAGAGAGATGAACATTATAGTCTGAGAATAGACTAATAGATAGATAGGGAGGGAGGGAGAGAGAGAGAAGAAAAGACTCAAACTGAGATTTGAAAAGACGAATAGATAGAGAAGACAATAGCAAGAGAAAGAGAGAGAGATATGAAAATTATGGTCTATGAATAGACTAATAGATAGATAGGGAGAGGATGGAGAGAGAGAGAGAGAGAGAGAGAAGAAAAGACGCAAACTGAGATATGAACAGATTAATAGACAGAGAAGATGACAGCAAGAAAGGGAGACAAATGAACATTATCGTCTATGAATAGACTAATAGATAGATAGGGAGCTCAGAGAGAGAGATGAAAAATTGAGATATTAATCGACTAATAGATTGAGAGAACGAGATATGTGAACAGAATAATCGACAAAAAAAAAGAGAAGTGCGGGCTTGGACAGAGATATGAATAGATTAAGATAGGTATAGAGCTAGAGAGAGAGAGAGAATGAGAGATCACAATGTAATAAATAACCCATTTGGATGAAATTCACTATGAATGGCTTGCGAGATTAATGGAGACGATATAACAGTGTGGTGGCTTCTTACACCGTAGTAGGAAATACTCGGCGCCTAAACATCCTTTCCTGTTAGAAAAAAAATATGTTAACAGATCTGTCGGAGAATGGTAAATAGTTTGCCTACCGATGGAAGAATGCTGTGAATGAAAATATTACCATTCCAGTGCACATTTCGCTAGCATTGCATCTCTTATTAACCTTTCATCAGTTGAAAATGATTTCTTTCTGACGCACGCAAATACGGACACTTACTGACGCACAGAGCCTGATAAACACAAAACACTTATGCAATAACATATACGCATGAAAGTGCATACACACGTAAATACATACACACTGATTCACATAGATGCACAAAGGTACACGCACACGAATCTTATGTACTGACACCGACAAAAAAACAGACATATGCACAAATATATATGTACAAACATTCATGGAGACATAGACACACAGATAGAAAAATAAAGCCCACAAAGCACTTACACAATAAAACACAAACAAAATCACATACACACATGTATGCACAAACACTCGGAAACACAGAGGCAAGCACACAAAAACATATTACGCAAAAAGTAAACACAAAAAAAAACATATACACAAAGACATACGCGTATACACTCGTACGCACAGACACACACAGAGAAACACAAAATAATTACACACTAATACACATAAGCATTTTTATAATCATTTCACACAAGGCAATAATACTACTAAGACGCAAGGGGTTACTCAGGGTGAAATAGAATGAGAAGGCATTAGTGGAGATAAAAGACTATAAAAGAACAGGTTTTAAGAAGAAGGAAGATGGCGATTGACATTGATTGAAAGAAACCGGAAGAAAGCTCCATGGGCGAGAAATAAAACTATTAGAATCGAACTTACGGTTACAGCTAGCTATTTGAACAGTAAAATGCTGAGACCTATTTGCCAATCTAGTAAAACGCTTAAATTCATGCCGTCCAAGTACCAAGGATTCAATCAGAACAAGTGCCATGAAAATATTTATAGAAAAGACAAGGGAGGCCATGTTAGGGCGGTGGAAAAGTGACAGAAGTCAAGATGCCAAGTCAAGGCCAATAACAATGCAGACCCTTTGAATTTTGTCAAGAACGCTGAGACATATAGCAGGTGCACCAGAAGACCAGATATGGCAGCAATATTAAATACACGGGTGAATGGTAGATTTATAAAGATGCATGGATTCTGACTAGAAAAATTGTCTGCACGACTCAGTGAATCAACTTACCAAGCAGCAAACTTAGCAAATGATTAAATATAATAGCCTCCACTTTATGACAAGTGGAAAGCGTGAAACAAACAGGGCGCAATGAGTTGCTCTCCTGATGGTTAACGTTAGCCATTCTAATGTAAGACAAATATGGTTCTCTATGGTGAGTAAAAGACAGCAGTTTCGTTTTGGATGTGTTAAAATGTACAAGCCATTTCTTGCTCCAGTTAACAACTGATTGGAGTTCGTTTTTGTTGTAGCATACCTACGGACTATAATGTTTATGTCCCCATTCACATAAATACAGTAGTAAATACGATATGATGGTCTGCAGTCAGAGGTTCGTTTCCAGCCGTGCTGGTCAAACTCTCTGCCTCCGAACAGAGAGGGTCCCCAGACGAGGCTATGTCGAAGGGCAGAGTCTCGTCTCGGGAAACACCTATCCGAACCCGTTTTATACGGAGTCTACGGGGAAATTTTGGCCGATCCTACGGCCTCGGATACTCCACATTAAATTCGGTCTTGTGCCACATCTGATCGGGTCGTAGATATTCTGCAGTTGGAGATTCGTCTCCAGCTGTGCTACTCAAACTCTCTGCTTCTGGGCAGAGAGGACCCCCAGACGAGACTATGCCGAAAGTCAGTCTCGTCTAGGAAAACGGCTACCCGACCCTATTTTATACAGGGTCTACGAGTAATTTTTGGCCGATCCTACAGGCTCGGATATCCCACATTGAATTCGGCCTTGTGCCACATCATACCGCGTGGGACGGTTGGTAGATATTCTGCAGTTGGAGATTCCTTGTGGAATTCACTTGACTCACTCCTAGCAGTTGACTACTACTTATACGCGCTGCTGGCGAATCTTATATGTGTTGTTCTTGTCCTAAGTATTATCGTTTATTACCAACCTTCGCGTGATTATTCAGTAACCTTCTATAGGTTACAACATTTTGGCGATGAGGATTAGGCAAAATTACAACAGTTTTAGAGTGTAGCTGCCAGTTTTACGTTATCAGACCTATCGGACTTACTATTAAGACAGGTGTAAATAATTGTGTCATCAGCAAAGATAAGAATTTGGAAACTGATGGTATCGGGAAGGTCGTTTTTGAAGATGAGAAACAACTTAAGTCCAAATATAGAGCCTTAGTGGACCACCCACATAATGATCTAGAAATAGTCGTTCGAAATTCCGTACACAATTTATTAAGAACGATTGTATTAAGTCAAGTATTCGCCAGAACCATTGAGTTTGTGGAGAAGGCCTGCTGGCCAAATCCTGTCAAACGTCTTCGAGATATCTAAAGCCACAGCCCAAGCCTAGCCATTCTTATCTAAATCACTGACAGACAAATTCAGTGATAATGTTTGAAACGTCAGTGCTTGACTTAGAAAAACGAAAGCCATATTATTTATCTGAAAGAAAGTCAGGTGAAGTGAGATTCTTAATCAATTTGAATTGCCAAAAAAAAAAAACAGGTAAAAGACTAATAGGACAACAATTCGACGGACCAGAATGTTCAGCAGAGTTCTTAAAAGAGGATATTCAACAGACTAGAAAGCAAAAATCGGCAAGATATTTGTTGTAGAGTTTGGAGAGAACAACAGCCAGTTCAGGAACACAATTTCCTTACGACTACTGCAGAGATGTCATCAAGTCCGCAAGCTTTGGGATTATCGTCATAGATATAAATATACATGCAATACAAACATAAATGCACATAAACGCCTACAGAAATATACACACACATAAAAATACATGCATAAAGATATGCATGAAAGCACACATGTACACACATGAGCATAGACACATAGACGTACACAGAGACGCTTTTGGGTTTTTTTTTTGTTTTTTTTTTACTTTTCTTTGTGTCTTGTTAAATTGAAACCTTCATTGAGTATATATGTATGAGTATATGTGTGTATAGTTTTGTATATGAGTGCGCATGTGTGTTGGTATGCCTGTGTATTTTCTATGTGTATGCATGGACGTTTTTGTTTGAGAATGCACGTGTGTGCTCGTATGTCAGTGTATGTATCTATGTTTGTTTTTGTATGTCATCGTGCGTGTGTGTTCGTATGTTTGTGTATTTTCTATCTGTACGTGTATATTTGTTTTTGCATGTGAATGCTTGTATATGTTCGTATGTCTGTGTAATTGCTATATGTGTGCGTGTATGTTTTTGTATGAGAGTGCGCGTGTGTGTTCGCACGTTCGTGTATTTTTTATGTATGTGATAGCGTTCATATGTTTATATATCTATTTATTATGTGTGCGCGCGTTTGTTTCTTGTATGTGAATAGACTAAATTCATTTTCCATGCGTGTGTTCCTGTATATTAGTTATTTTCTATGTGAATACGTGTGTCAGTTCATAGGTCAATGGATTTTTATGTCCCTTTGTTCGTGTTTATTATTGTGAGTATATGTTTTAGTTCCCAGATAGCAGAAAGTGCAACACTGAATTCCGAAGTAGTTTTGGGATAGCGAAATATGCTTTTCAAAAGCTAAGCAAGGTATTAAAAAACAGAAAAAAAATTCGTTAGAAACAAAGACAAGGGTAATATCAATCCTCCTATATGGCAGTGAATGCTAGACAATCGCCTCACTGATGAAGAGGAGAGTTGAGGCAGCAAAAATGTGGTTCTACAGGCGGATGCTGAGGATATGATAGACCGAATATATGAGCAACAACGAAATTTTGCAGAAGATGGAAACAAAAAGGAAAGTTATAACATCAGGAAGAGACATTTGAAATCTTAGGACACCTAATGTAAAAAAAAAAAAAAAAACTTTGCTTCCTTTTTCTTTTTATGTGCCGTGTCCTTTCAGGACGTAGGGGATCATGGCTCTCCACTTCTCCCTATCCCTTGTAGCTCTCAATAAGGTTCGTCTCTCTGCCATCTTCCCCCACCAGACCACATTCTGTTATCCAATAGCCCGCCTGGTATGTCATATTTTGCTTTCACTTTTCTCACTTTCCCTCTATTCGACTTGTGAGTATCAGATTCTCCAGGCACTCCTTTCTCATTATATGTCTCAGAAATTTTATCTGCCTCTTCCTGATGTTAGGTATAAGCTTCCTTCTTGTTTGCATCCTCTTTAAAACCATATCGTTGCTCACACGCTTGGTCCATAATATCTTTAGCCTCTTTCTTGGTGATTCTATATCGAAGTAAATTCCTCTAGAATTTCTGTGTTATTTTGTTATTTTTACTTTTTCATATCTCTTCTTACAGAACAAAACATATGCATTCATTTTTCTTCATGTGTCGTGTCTCCTCACGACGTAGGCGATCATGGCTCTCCACAACGTCCTGTCCCTTGTAACTGTTAATAACTTTTGCCTTTTTATTATTTATCCTAAACCCCGTTCCGCCATTTATTTACTCAAGCTCACTAAGTGTTATAGTGGAACACACTTATTCTCTTGTTAATAGACTCTCACACCTATAATAAGTAGGAGTAGTAAGAGTAACAAGTCAATCGGTCAGTCAGTCGACTGGCTGTTCGGTTGAACTCTCTGCCTTCGGGCGGGAAGAACCCGAAGGAGGCTACGCCGAAGGGCGGAGTCTCTTTCGGGGAGGTAAACCGACCCTGAACCCGTTTATACGAGTTCAATGGGCATATTTTTGGCTCAGAGGGTTCGGTCAGTCAGTCGATGCCGGACGACCGTTAGTCGGATACTAAAGTATCAGCGACAACAACTAGATTTCTCTGCGTCATTACCTATTATATCAAGTTCCTAACGTTTTGTACGTCGAACCTATTTTAGGACCGACTTAGTACAAATACAAGCCTCCACTGTGAAACCACTCCATAACACTAAGTATATTATACGTTGTTTTCTTCTGTCCCTCTTGCCTTCAATCTGTCTTGTGCGTATCAGATTTTCCAAGCCCTCTTTCCTCATTATGTCCCATTTTTAACTCTATTTTTCATTTTAATTCCATTTTCTCGTCGTTACTCATATAATCGGTCTATGGCATCCTCAGCATCTTTGTATAGAACCAATTCGAATTCGAGTTCGAGTTCCAGTCGAATCCATTACATTCACTTACGTGCTAACACCCTTGGGAAAGGTGTGAATCCTCTTTCTTCTCCCTCCAGCTATGGGTAAATAGCAGGACAGATTGGGTTCTATAGCCTTGGATGGCAACTGGTCTAGGAGAAGGAAAACTCTGAATTCAAACCTGCTCTTAGAGGAGAGTGAAAGGAGTCTCTCTGAGCCTTGGTTGGCAATCCATTTAGTCTTGGTGTCACGATAAAAACACCCTTGATAGCCCTAGCGAAGCATCAAGAATTCAGCTATTTGACAAGATTATGAACTACACCAATCAAAGTATTGGTGAGTTCAATCTCGGCTGAGGTCGCAAGATGATGATGATAGAACCAAATTTCTGTGGCTTCTAGTCTCTTCTTCATCCGTGTCCAGCACTCACTGCTATACAGGAGAATAGATATCACGTAACAGTTTAGTACTCTTTTCCTTGTTTTTAGCAAAGTTTTTTTTTCTTCTATTTCTTAATTCTCTGCTTAGTTTTGGAATGAATCTTCGGCTATCCAAATGCGCCTTTGGAATTCAGTGCCTCTATTTCCATCCTCTGTTAAAATCCTTTTAATATAGATATTTAAATTTTTTTTTTTTTTACCCGTTTGATTTTGGTATCACCAATTTGCAACTCGCAGATTGGGTTCATCCTTTTGCTAACAACTTGATCGCTCGAGGGATATTAGTTTGTGTGTCTTTGTGTTTATGCATGTGCTTGATAGGAACGTCGAGAAAAATTACCGTAATCCTTTGTGTATAGATCGCTCGGAAACATAAAAGATTTTAAAAAAGCAGAGAAATTCAAGGGTAAAAAAGCTTACTTTATGTATAAAACGCACCTGATTTTAGAGCAAAGAAAATTACCAAAACTTGTGAGAAAGAAAAAGAAAAGAAAACGAGTTTACATTTATGATTCGAAAGCATTACGAAAACGTGATAATGACTTTTGGGGATATATGACGACTAAATCGTCGATAGAGATTGAGAAAATAAAATTGAATAAAGATTAACTTTTTCGCTTAGTGTTAATTTCATGTTCAAATTTGAGGTATTTCTTTCGAAATTATTTGCTTCGTCCTGAAACGGACTGTTTTGAGAAATCATGGTCATTAATTGCTTTTCAATAAAAACATTGTTTTTGGTGAGCTTTATTTTGATATTATACATCATTTTGTTTGTTTGTTGTGTGTGTGTGTGTGTTTTGTTTTTTGTTTGTTTTTTTTGGGGGGGGGGTCGTAAATTAAATAATATTTTTAACTTTGAATGACTTCTAAGCTCACAGAAGTGTCTCGACTCAGGGAAGTCCGGAAAAAAAAACGGAACTGTATGGAACTTAGAGAAACATTATGAAAGATTTATTTCCGTTTGTTGCAATACGCCATTAGATAGATATTATATCTCCGGTAAACAAAATTTTGTTCGTTTTCATAAAAATTGGATCGAGTTCTAAACTAGACTAATCAGACTTTGGACGAAAAAACCTGCGTCTTATACAGACATGATAACAATTATTAATTAATTATTATATAGCTGGCCACTCGTATTCGAGGCTGCCCGTCTACGAGGGCGGCTAGCTAATCCCTATTGCAAACGCTTGCTCAGGCACATTTGTGTTTGCTCACCACCCACAGAGCTCATCTGTGGGTTATACTGCAATTATGCTGAACAGACCTTAGTTACAGTTTCTGAGAAAAAGCGTGTTTTCTAGCGTGATCAAAAATTTGAGCAAGGCTTTGTGACTAGCACAGCTATCGACGTCTCCGAAGGGTTCCGTCTACCTAATTTCCCTTACAAGGCTTGGATCAATCCGTGGTATGGTTTTCAGATACTTTCCAAAGGTGCCACACGCTGGGATCGACCCCTCCAGTCCGATAACATCAGGCAGTCTCCCTCCTGACAAATCGACCATGGTTCTAACCACTCGACTACGTGCCCATAATTAATTAATAAATAATAATAATAATGCTAAAATAAAAATAATCGAAATCGATTATATATATATATATATATATTATTTATCAGCATTAAAAAAAATCCCATAGCTTAATAAAAGTCTTAAAAGCTTAGCCAAATCATTAAATAGGAAAAACCCTTTCTGTAGTCGTCAAAAAACAAAAAAAAATGAAATTCAGTGCAATACGGTTTGTATATAAAACATCCACTTGAATAAATAAATAGATAATCAGATGGACAATAATAAAACACAATCCTCCCGACACATAACGACTTGTAGGCGCGCCAGAAAAATATCCCTCACTGAGAACCAACTAAAGGATGACCGCAAACATTAGCCTTGAAATAGATACCCTACCCAACCTTAGCAAAACCTCTCAGAAGATGATGAATCTATTGATAAGAATTAACTCTCTGACCACTTAACGAAGAAAAATAGTCTAGCCACTCCCACAATAACGAATGTTGTAACGGACCATGCCTAAAAACACACGTAAACCGAGAGATAGCTTATTCCTAAAATTTCGCTTGAAGATGAAACGGGACTAAACACCTCAATTCAACTTAATTTTAATAATTATTTGGATGGTTTCGGCTCTCGTTTTTGAAACATGAAAACTCTTATGTAGCAAAGGAACCATATCTTTAAACAAAAAAATATATATATATATATATATATATATATATATATATATATATATATATATATATATATATATATATGTGTGTGTGTGTGTGTGTGCAAATATATGGAAATAGATCCGATAGTATGAAGAAAATATACTTAAAAAAAACAAACAAAAATCCTAATATGCGATTAAAACAGCGTAATCGCATAGGGATTTTTTTTTTGTTTTTCAGTATATTTTTCTTCATATATATATATATATATATAAAGCATTCTCATCGTGAACGGTGAAAAGGTAAAGTAAATGTAATCACGTTTGATTTTAAATAATTTAGTCCAATCGAAATAAATTTAATAAATATTTCACCGACCTGGATATGATCTGTGATGGTATCTTTAGTTGTCAGTATAAATGCACATGATCCACATTAGGGCCAGTAATTTATGGAGTCTTCCCATGATGCGCGTCTTAAATTTTCGATAACAAGAGAAACGTAGCATAATGTAACGCATTTTAAAAAAATTCAAAAAAGAAAAATTATTGAACAAAGTTTAAATCTCGAACACGGGGTGATTTCCGTTTTTTTAATCATTCCACCTGAAGCAAGACAATAAAGCCACTAAGACGCAAAGAGTTACTGAATGTGAGAGAATATGAGAAAAAAAGAAAGGCTTATTAATGAGAGAGAACAATAAAAGAACAGGAATTAAGAATACAGAAGATAACGATTGCCATTGCATTTAAATTTTTTGACGATTAAAGTTGACGGATGCAAAGCAAGAAACCGCAGTTGGGAAGTGTTATAGAAGATACTGTCAGCATAGAACTTACGGTTACATTTAGGCATTCCAACTGTAAATGATGAGACCTTGCCGCCAATTTAGTACTGCTCTTATATTCACAAAGTCTAGGTACCAAAGAGGAAAGTTCATAGGAAGAATTACCATTAAAATATTTATGGAAAAGGCACAAGGAAGATATAAGTTATGGCAATGGGAAAGTGACTAAATGTCAGGTGCAATTGCATTGCATATCCGTCTTTGGATTTTATCAAGAATCTCTAAATACATAGCTAATCTAGTACTTCGTTTAAATTCATAAAGTCCCGTTACCAATGAGAAAAGCTCACACACAAATGATTACCATGAAAATATTGATAGAAAATGCGCAGGAAAAGTACGTTACGGCGGTGGGAAAATAACTGAAGCTGAAATGCCAGGTCAGTACATTGTTGATTCTTCTTTGATCAAATAGTGGAGAATGAAGAGAGAGAGAGAGAGAGAGAGAGAGAGAGCATAACAGTATAGACTTTGCACTCAGTGAGACTTCAGATTACCTCACGGTCAGCAAGGGCTGATCCATAACTTGGCTGCCCCAACATGGGAACACGTTATAGATACTCGGGGAAGAACCGTGGGTTAGACAAATATATAAGCACGTACTCCAAAGAAGTGAGGGATTTAGGTATCGCACTCGAAACGGTCAACTTTCGAATGAGGGGTCTGGAAACATAAACATGAACAGACTAACGAATGTTCAAATAAGTATTTTCTCAATTTTCGTCGGCCTGTTTGCGATGAGCTTTCATCTTTGATATCTAAAATTTATGAATTTAAGCGCCAGATTGGCGGCAAGGTCTCATCATTTTACAGTTGAAATTTTTGATGGAACCGTAAGTTCTATGCTAATAGTTTCTTCTCTGAGAAACTCCATTCCGGCATCTTGCGTTTCAATCTTCAAGTTTGATCGTAAAAAGTGTAATGGCAATCGTTATCTTCTGTCTTCTTAATTCCTGTCCTTTTATTGTTCTCTCTTCTTATAAATATTTCTTGAGTGACCCTTGGACCTTTTGCGATGAGCAAATTTCATCAATTTTGATAGTGAGCGTAAAAAGGTTAGAATTGCAGTTTATGAGGATATGAAAGGTAATTTATTGTCGTGAGAAGCATCTCCAGCAGTTCTGGAATGGAGATGGTTCCAATGTACGAGAGGTGATCTGTTAAATTCAGGCCTATTTTTTTTAATCATTTACCCCAAGCAAGGTGATAATTTACAGAATGAGAAAACAGAAATAAACGAACAGGTTTCAGGAAGACAGAAAACTGAAATCGACGTTGCATTTAAATTTTTGAAGATTGTACGTGGCCAGGAAGTAATGAACCGGAAGAGAGTTCCACGTGCGAAAAGTGCGAGAAAAGAAACTATTAGAATAGAACTTGCGGTTAGATCTAAAACAGTAAAAAGGTGAGACTCAGTTGCCAGTCTAGTAGTGCGCTTAAATTCATGTAGACGAGACAGGAAGGAGGAGATCTCATCAGAACAACCGACATTAAAATATATAGAGAGAAAAGACAGAGTGAAGCCACATTTCGGTCCCGGCGGGGAAGTGACTTGGAACGTGAATTTAAACGTAATGCTAGATTGGCAATTAGGTCTCAATGTTTTACTTTTGAAATAGCTAGATATATCTGTAAGTTCCTTTCTAATATTTTCTTTTCGCACGTTTATCGCCTTTGAAACTCTCTTTGGATTCCTTACCTCCCTGCCACTTACGATCTTCAAAAATTTTAATGGAACGTCAATCACTATGCCCTATCTTCCTGAACCTTTTCTTTTATTCTCTCTCTCTCTCTTTCTCTCTCTCTCTCTCTCTCCCCTCGCTAAAGTCATCTCATTCTCCACTACCACTTACACCTTGAATATAAACGATGGGCTATATTAAGGTTTACGAGAATGATTTCGTGGGCCTATAAGAAATACATTGACGTAATATCCGCGTCGTTATTTTAAAAAAACAGTCTAATAATGATTTAATATGAGCGTAAAAAATACCACGTTTCTTTCGATACCTTTATTTACACTAGATGTGGAAAACATCTGTTTTTAATTCTGAGTAAAATCAGAAATGGAAAAATCTTTATAGCCTTTTTTTGGTATAATAGTATAAGACGTTTAACTTAGTACCTTCTCAACTAGTGTTTCGCATTCGGATCATATAAACAAGGAATCCAGAAAAACCGATATTTTTCACAATGTCTTTCCGATCTTCACTAAACTACAGACAAAAAGGTAGACATACTGGGCGTAACAGCAAAATTGTCTAAGTCGTGTAACAGCAAAATTGTCCATCCTACAATATGTTTAATATCTAAAGAAAAACATTAAACTAATTCAGTTACTTTTTTCCAGGTTTTCAAATAAGGCGTTTAGCCATCTTAACACCATTTGCCGTAAGAATCACTGAAAAATCCTTTGAGCTATTTAGCTAAAAAGAGAACATGTTAAAATTCTTTTGTGTCAGACCCATTGTCTTCCCAAATTGAGCGATGGTGAGAGGGAAAAGATCATTCAAGCCTTCAGTAATGGTACCAACATTCATACTCTGGCTTCCATTTTCAAAGTCCATTCAAGAACCATTAAGAGAACGGTGAATAAATTTAAAAAAAGAAGGAACACTAGAGACGAAAACTGGATCAGCAAGTCCCAACAAAAAGAGGGATCATCATTTCAAATTAAAGGTAAAGATATCAATTAGAAAAGATCCAACTTAATCCATAAGACGTTTGGCACGTTAGAGAGGAGTTTCATCAATGACAGTCCAAAAAGCAGTAAAAAAGGCTTGAAAATGAAATCGTCTATGAAACCTACGAGGAAGCTTGTTACTACAGAACAGAAAGTTAAAAGCTTAGAGTGGGCGAAAATCATCTTGAATATGTTGGAAAATGATCCTGAAATAAAATATAGATATTTGAACTTTATTTTAATTCTTCATTAGCTTCTGATCCTTAGCTCTGATTAATTAATGATAAAGATGTTATTTTCGTTTATGATTCTTCTGTTAAGCTTGGAGATTAATTATACATTCTTATTGCTCAAAGTAAAGTTCAATAATGTTATTCCAGTAATATAAATTTAATCATTTCTGAGATACAATGGTTCAAATCTTAATCTATCAAATGGACAATTTTGCTTTTACACGATGTGGACAATTTTGCTTTTACACCCAGTAAATCTAGTTACAGTATAGACAAAAAGGTAGATATATAGGTTCGTTTTGCATTAGAGTAAAAAATGGTAGACATAGGTTTAGTTTATACGAGGACAAAAAAGATAAACAGACATCAGGGTTACACTACATTAAAAAAGGTAGACATCGGTCCAGTTACATTGTATTAGGTTGGTGCAAAAATAATGACGTAATAATGTCGTTTTTTGACGTTAAAAAATAGGCCAAAAAACGATATTATTACGTCATTATTTTTGCACCAACCTAATAGAAGTAGACATGAATCTAATTTTACACGTGAGTTAAAAAGGTAAACATGGGTGCAATTGATATTCGCGTCTAAAAGAGAAACATAGGTCCGGTTTACACTAAAGTCAAAACAGTAGACATAGGTCTGGTTTTTCATGAGTGTCAAATAGCTAAAGTTTCGGTTTACATTAGAGTAAAAACAGGTAGACATAGTTCCAGTTTATACGAGGATAAAAACGAATACATCAGTCTGGTATTATACTTGCGTCAAAAGGGCAGAATAGGGTCCATTTTAGACACGTCTGTATTCGATCACCTGGAACGTGGCCCCTTGTGTGTCGCGTGCAGGGAAACTCAACAGAATGACCCTTTTTCAAAGTTTATTTAAAAAAAAAACGCCACTATTACAGGGTCATCAATTTTAATCTGACCTGATAATATCGTTATTCTGTAGAACAGGGTATTTTTAACTATGTTTTATTATTGTCCCGTACGATCACCGAAGTTAAGCAACATCGCGCCTGGTTTGTAACTAAATAGGTGACCACTTGGGAATACCAGGTGATGTAAGCTTGGATGTGGGGATGGTGTAATGTATTATGGCTCGGAATTGTTAATTGGAGAGCTGAGTTCTAGATCCAGTTGGATCCGTTATATTCAATTACGCGCAAATACTCTTGGGAAAGGTAGGAATCAACCTCTTCTCCCCTCAGCTATGGGTTAATTAGTAAGAATTGTATCACAAAATCATTATTATCTCAAAAAACATTCATACAATCAAAAACATTTTTTGGCTTTAAATAACCTGCAAAGGGGTGATAAGCCATAAATACGAACCAGTCAAATCATTTTATGTATGTAACATCGAAAAGGAATTGATCAGAAAGAAATAAAAATTTAAAAAAACCTTGATATTTCTTTAAAATATTTTTTTAATTTTTAAACGATAGATATATCATTTTTAAAAATTAATACAAAAATTACTTTTGAGAAACAATTTTTAAAAACTGACATAAACTTACACTATTCGGACTATTGTCCTCATCTTTGTCGCCATATTTATTGCAACGTTTCGGCCGTAGTACGCTCTGGCCTTCTTCAGGTGGTTGGCATGCCGAACTGAACCCTTTATTTCGCTCACTGGGGTAGACTGTTCTAGTTCCACGTCTAATGAATGTCAGTTATCAATTATCTTCTGTTAATTCCCCTCTCCAAATTCTCCACCGCCTTAACCAGGTATTGAACTCACACTCTTTGGGTCCTGTCACTGGATCTAACTAATGTCTTAATCCACTGTGTCATGTGTCCTTGAGGACATTTGTGTATGAATTTCTGGGTATTATAAACCTAATGTCTTCAGCAACCATTTTTTTACCAGAGCTCATATTTTTGTTGTTATTATCGCTTTTCTCTGGCACTCCATATTACTGGTTCCCATATTGTATTCATTTCTATGCTTGGTCGGCTCAGGAGATTTTTGTGGTCTAGTATATGTGCTGATTCCATAAGTTTATAAATTTTCCAATGATGTTCTTTGTCTATGATCTCAACCTACTGCCACAGAAGGCGGTAATCTCCATTTTCTCTCCATATGTGGTCAGCCACGCCTGATTTGTTCACTTTCCCTCGTGTTACAGCTTTCTGGTGTTCTTGAAGCCTTACCTTAAGGAGGCGGCCTATCTTCCATTTATATTTCTTTCTGCAGTTTCACGGGATAGCGTACACACAGTCTTTAGTCATGTTCTCCTCTATGGGGGGTCTTATTCGGGAGAGATATCTGCGAAGTGTCGTCCAGCTTTTGAAAGTTGTCCTGATGTTATATAGACCGCAGATTCTTTATATTTTCTCTGATAACCCCTTCACATAAGTCAGGCAGACTGTTTTCTGAGTGTTGTTGTCCTCCTCCTCTCTATCCCAGTTTGGGCGGGGGCTGCTATCATGTACCCAGAATAGTTGTTACGTTGTAGAGTACTACTTATACTGACCAATTCTTTATCTAATGTCGCTGGGTCGCCACTTATGACTTTTGCTCGGTGCTGTAAGCAACGGACGATCCCTTTCTTTACGCTGTATGGATGGTGGAAGTTGAAATTGAGGTACTGTCCGGTGAATGTCAGTTTACGGTATACGGATGTCTTGAACCCATGCTCTGTTTGAGATATTAGAACATCCAGGAATGGGAGTGTGTTGTTACTCTCTTTCTCCATCGTGAACTATATCGAAGGTCTTATTGAGTTCACATGGTCCAGTAGAATTATAGAGTATGAAGTACGTAGATGACACCTTCATACTCTTCATATAACTGATATGCATTAGACATGGCACGTGGAACTAGAACAGTCTACTCCAGTGAGCGAAATAAAAAGCTTCATTTCGATATTCCAACCACCTGAAGAAGGCCAAAGCGTACAGCGGCCGAAACGTTGCAATAAATATGGCGACAAAAATGAGGACAATAGTCTGAATAATGTAAATAGTGTACATAATACCTCATCTCAGAAATATAGACAGATAATGACATGAAATTACTTTTAAAAACTAGTGTTTTAACAGAGAACGAAAAGTACAATACTGACATTCGAAGGCGCATTGTAATAGCGAAATATGCTTGCCAAAAGCAAAGCAAAGTATTAAGAAACAGAAAATTTTCTTTAGAAACAAAGAAAATAATACTGAACTGTTATATATTATCAGTCTTTAGAAACAAAGAAAATCATACTGAACTATTATGTAATATCAGTCCTCCTATATAACAGTGCATTCTGGATATTTTCATCACGGACAAAGCAGAGACTGGAAGCAACAGAATTGGTCCTAAAGAAAGATGCTGAGAATACCATGGACCAAACGCGTCAGCAACGATTAGATTTTAGAGAAAATGGAAAACAAAAGAGGATACTTAACATCAGAAAGAGATAGGTCACATAATGAAGAAAGAGGGCTTGGAAAAAAGGATACTCACAGGATACATTGAAGGTAAGTGGGACAGAGGAAAACAACGCGAGCTTGGGGAGTGATAACAAAAAGAAAAGCTACAAAGGACAGAAAAATGTGGGGAGCCATGATCATCAAGGTCCTGATGGCACACGGAACATAAACGAAAAAGCATACAAAAGTTTGGACATATTTTTCTCAATTTCCTTTCCATTTTACTGATAATTTTTTTCACTAGCATAATTAGGCGAAAGAGGGGCAGCGCCAATACCCAAGGCGGACTTTGACAGACCAAGTGTGTGAGCTTCTTTGTCGCGCAGGATTGTCCACTAAAATCAAATTCACGCGAATGGCTTCGCTAAACACTGATTCACAGCCACCGGGAGAGAGAAAGAGAATCGACAAAGACGATGACGATCCCGATGTTCGGATGCGAGCGCGTGCAAACATGTAATAAGTAGCAAGTACATTTACACCCTCACTCATGATGACTTATGACTCTATGCTATCACAACTATCGACTGTTTCCGAACAGTTTTATCTACCTAATTTTACTCAGAAGGCTTGGATGGTATGGTTTTACAGTCATTTTTGGTGTGGTATGGTTTTACAGTCATTTTCCAACAGTGCCAGGGATCGTTTCACCAGGCAACTATTATCAAGAGGGATCGTTTCACCAGGCAACTATTATCAAGAACTCAAATAGATCACGGTAGTATTTGAACCCAGGTCTATACTTCTAAAGTCTCCGCCAAAACTCTGATATCTTTACTTTTTATTTCATTATTTAAATTTTTTCTCCTCCCCCAGATTTATTCACCTATCGTCAGGTTCGCACACATCCCCTGTCTTTTGAACAGAAGTAGATCTTTATCCTTTGTTTCCTGTTTAAAACTCGGTTTCCGGTTCCTTCTAAATTCTACTATACTTTTAACGTCTCCGTCTGAAATTTATACTATTACTAGCTTAAAAGCCGCCTTGTCGGGCGACATTTAAGCTAGCTCCTGCGGAGGGATCTTGATTGGGCCTTCATCACAATAGGTAGAGAGGAGTAGATGCGATAGGCAACAATAAACTACAGAAAAACTCAAAATTGATCGCTGCATTTAAATATTGCATTAATATTTAAGCTTACCTTTTAAAAGTTCAACGAAAATTCTTCAGTCGCCACTTAATTTAAAGACAATTTGATGTACCTAGCTCCTTATTCCCCGTATAAACAATTATTTTTATTTCATGGGTGGCTTTTGCTGGATTTCGCAATTAATTTCGATTATTCCCAAATTTATTTACAAGTCATAAAAATTGTTATTGTACAAAAAATTTGTCGCAACGAATTACGTAAAAAAATGGTTGAAAGCAATCGCAGTACATTTCCCAAATTTCTAGTCCGGAATACTTTTAATTTGTTCACGGAGTCGACCTGATTCCAAAATGGTATGATATGTTGGACTACAGCCTCTCGGGGTAAATTTTATTTTGAAACACTGTAATTTGAGAAGAGTATTTTTTTCATTTTAAGTTTCTTTTGCGTAAAATAAATATCGTTCAATGACTATTGGCAATAACCGATTCTATTACGTAAAAAGCAAACGTAACTTTGTATATTTAGCAGTCACGCAGGTCCAATCTTCATTTCCACCAGTTCAGACCTTTACAGCTAGGATACGCCATGCTATTTTCACGGAAGCGAATCAGCTGCATTTCCTACTGCATCGCAAATGTAAGGAGAAGGTTCCACTCAGATTTTTCCCATGAACTTCTACATTGTGGAACAGACTCCCGCTTTTGTGCTTCCTTCGACACTAAAATCTTAACCTCTTTACGCCAATGATCAATTTTTATCGATTTACTTATCCGCGTAATCTTCATTTCTTTCTACTGTAACAGGCTTGTTGTCCTTAATGAGTCATATTAGTGTATGAACTATTGTTTGGCGACTTGAGTCATTCAGTGACTTAGTAACATTGAGCGAAGGATTAGCGATATTTGGTGGTAAAAATATAGGTTGGAGCCAGATTAAAAAAAAAGTCGGTTTTAAAAATCTTAATCTATGGAAGGATTAGTTACGATAATACATTCGCCATTAAAATTATTTTCGACCATGCTTAGAATATTGCTGACATCTATGGTCCTGCTATATATTTAGAGATCTTTGATAAAATTTTAAGAAGAATCAGCAATATTATTAGTCCTGACCTGTCGCCTCGGCTTCAGTCACTTTCTCATCGCTGTAAAGTAATATTCTACTGATGCAAGGTCAGATGAATATGGCAGGTGGGATAGAACAGACCAACCGAGTTCCAAAATGTTTTCCTGAGTCCTTCTTGCTATATGCGGCCTTGTGTTATCATGGAGGAGAGCTTTTTTTTTTCTTTAATTGTCTGTGTATGCTGCTACTACCGTGCAAAAACTAACTGCTACCTTTCCCAGGAGCAGTAGTAAAAAGCAGACAAAAAATTGTTTCAGCTCGATTCACCATTTCCACTTTCCTTATTGATAAGCATTTAGCCATCCCGGATTCTGTATCTGTTACGTCGAATCATTAATAATTTGAGTTTTCGCTCATCAACTTTATTCACCCAAAAATAAAATACAATTACATTTTATTCCGTGTTATATTCACCGTTATTTACA